GTAGCTTTTAAATAAACTATAGTTTGTAGTTCACATCTCTACCTTAAACAATTAAATGAAATTTTATACTTACTAAAAATAATAAAATTTAACAATTTGAGTAATGATGTATGATATATGTAAGTATAATATTGTAAAATTGACGTACCGAAAGTTCATCAGTGACATTGAACGTATATTTTGCCTTTATTAATAATAAAATAACTTTAATATAAAAAAGAAAAATCAAAAAGTTTATACTTAATTTTTTAACAGACCCATTCAAAAAACGCCTCAGATGGATCTTGCATGTTTTGTCTATAATATAGTAGATTAGCTTTGAATAATATTTATAGTTAATTACAGAATAATAATCTATTTAGAGCAAACTTTTAAATTGCTTAGGCTGAATTGATTTCAATTTATTTCTAAATTTAAATTTTTTTTAATTTTTTCATTGTTGTATTATGATTCTTATAAGTAACAAAGATTAAGAATTATCAAGAAAGTAAATTTTTCTATGTAATTAAAAATCAGATGTAGTTTTGGAGATCAAGGAACTTGCAGACCCAAATTTGGTGGGCTTTAAAGTTAAGCTGATGATTGCATAACCGATCAGATCATTTTATTAGAGCTGTTCAAGTTTTTGTTCATTGAAATATCGAACTTTTATTCCAATTAAAATAATAGAAAACATTTTATATTCTCAAAATATTTTACTAATTTATGTTAATCTAGTTATTCATTAAATAAATACAAATTGCATGTGATTTAAATTCAACAGAACATAATATATTTTTATACGATATCATCATATTCATCTTCCATTATTTCTTCTAAATATAATATTTAGTTAGCTTAGATAAAAAGTAATTCCTATTAAGTATGATATTTTTTACCAGTATATATGTTATCATCACTTTCTCTATCATCAATAAAAGAATCCGAAGTGTCATAATTATCATCAGTATAATCATCATCTATGTCTTCTACTTCGGTGTCATCTTCAATTTCAATGATGAGCCTTTGTCCACAGTTTACACAATTATTACCTACAACTAATTCAGATAAGAATAATTTAACTTAGCCACTCTTTTTTCATTATTAATTTTTTCGCTAATTACCTTCGTTGCTCCTATTCTCTGGTTTTGTTTCTGTACTTGAATTGTCAAAAAGGTTTCCCCACAGATTAGATTTCACTTTGAACTCTTGATTTTTTTTTTCAAGACGTATTTCTTCTTCTGATGATTTTATACTTATAAAATGGTCTATTAGGTCCTTAATTACAAAAGAAAATACTGGTGCTACCATGATTTCAACGCAACATGTCAGACATTTTTTTTGTTTTTTGAACTACAAAAAAAAAGTTTAATATACAGTATTACAAATTTCCGATTGAAGTTGGCTAAGAATTAGTTAGAAAAATGCTTCATACCCACTTATAAAGGCAATGGTAACAAAAAGTATGACCGCATGAAATAGTACAAGGATTTGACATATATTCAAGACATATAGTGCACTTTAATTCAAATCTATTTATATTGGCCTCTAAACCGTCTATAATCTGTTCTCTAAAAATTAACTCTTTATTTAATATATCTATTGTCATTTTAAGTTGACTAATCTCTTCAGCGTAATTCATTTTAGTCATGTGATTGTTTTAACTCTGATATTACGGTTGCTACAAAAGTTTAGAAGGCAATTTATTACTTTAATAACAATTCGAATGATCTATTTAAAAAACACTATTTATTTACTTAGCAAGATTTTGTGCAAAAGTACAGTATTGTTGAAATTTAAAGAAAAATTATCAAATGAAATTTTAATAACGCACGTGAAATAAATAAGGGAAGGATAATAAAAAGAATACGATTAAACGAATCTTCTATTACTAATGTTACCCATATGTTAAAAAATCAATTAAAAAATTCAATTCAAACAATTCAGTTTGTTTTAATAGATTTTTTTAATTTTAAACCAAAATTAAATTTTATTAAAAATATTTGCATTATTGAATAGAAATATCTAGTAGATAAAGTAACTAAGTTCCTGGCATTTTTAATTAATATCACTAGAATCTATTTCAATAACATGTATCAAAGATATTATCTAAAAAATCTTATCAGAGTCAAATTTAATGGTAAAAAATATGAAGATGTATTAAAACATATCAAAACATTGCGCGACAACAATCATGATATCTCAAAATTTAAATACGAGCACAAAGAATCTTTAAAAAATTTGATGTATCAAAAATATCATTCGTTTCAAATACCTGATTTTTTGTATTATTATGATTCACTCTTAAAAAATAGGTTCGAAGTATACCTAAATCACAAAGAATATGATTTTTTAACTCTAAGAGACATGATAGCGATCTCTCAAGGCTTTGCTTCGAACTCGTCTGGATATATATTCAAACAGATAACGAAGACAATTTAGATGGTGAAAAATTGTCCAAAAGATACCATCACATATTTGAAAGTAGTGGTCTACATTAGTTTTAAAGCGAGGACATTCGGTATTGGAGACGACGTAATAATAAAGTTTTGACTTGTAAACTCAATGTCGAGTAACTCAAAAACATGAAAATATATTGCACAACTATATTTACTGTATTATCAAATTATATCATTTTTTTAACCCAATTACCGCTTGTACACATTAATTAAATTCAAAGAATTGTTTTAAGAAATCGACATTTATATTATCAAAGTTATAAAGGCTTTTGAGAACAATTTTCAATATGTTTTCATCTGGCTTTGTATTTACCATATGTTCAGAAAATAAAAAATAAGAACAACCCTGTAACGTAAAAAAGTTCAAGAAACTAAAACAATCCAAAAATCGGTCGTAACTTGAAATTTTATCTATGAAACTGCTTTCTGCGTATTAACAAAACATTTTCTCACAAAATTTTGGTATAACTATAATTATTTAAACCTAACCTACTTGCAATACCCTAACCCTAACCCAACAGCGAAATGGTTTTCTTTGTGAAATTTTTTTTCTTGATGCGAGACTGGTGATACTAGACTCAGAAAATAAGCACACTGAAAATAAGCACATATGCTCATAGAATGTTTAAGTAAAAAATATATATATTTGAATATTAATGGTGAGACCATGTCTCTATTTTTATTGAAATTTAACTTAATTCTCTTACAATGAAAAGAATACTTACATAATAGAGATAATTCTTCTAATTCTTTTATCTTGGACAAATCGGATAAGGTTATTAATGCGGTTCTTTTCTGGTTTATTATACGGGTTATTATAGACTCCATTCAAATTATTAGTATATTGGACAAATAAGTTTACCTCGAGAACTCATTTTTGTGTGATAATATTAGACCCATTAGACCGAGAAATTATAAATCAAGACACGAAAATTCATCAACATAACTTAAACATAAAGAGAAACAAATGTAATAAATATAGAAATACATAGCAAAATTTTCGAATATCAGTGCCACACTAATAACCAGAAAAACACACATGTACAGCCAATTGTATTATTTAAAAAAATTCATTATACAAATCTACTATGGGTCTACAAATAGGTTTGATTCAATTAGCCACCAAACACCCCAGCATTGTTACAATTTTGACTTAAATTCAAAGGTTAATATAAAAATTAATAAGAAATATTTTTGCTTTAAAATTATTTATTGATAAAACAAAAGGATACATCACGACTATTTATGTATGTAAGTTATATAGTTGGGTGTAACTAATTACACACGGGTTAATATCCAAACCATGTGGCCTTCGGCCACGTGGCTTGAATATAAACCTCTGTGTGTAATTAGTTACACCCAGATATCCATACAATAACTATAACATATATAACACAAAGAGCTATTTAATATTGCAGAAAGCCTTTTCAAAATAGGCAAAATTTGAAAGATTCTTGGAGCATATTACTACAATACATCAATTTGAAACTAATGATAAAATTTTAAAATATAATTCGATGTTTTACTTGTCATTTTTCTATTCAAAGGGCTTGGCCTATCGCTTTGGCCTTTTTTTAGCTACGTAGTCGACTTGACATACTTGTCAAGTCAGAAGACTTTAACATTTATTATTAACGCTATTATTCATATATTTTTCGCTCAAACTTTTTTTTCATAGTCGTAGAAAAATTTTATTTTAAAATAAAAATTTGTGCAAGAAAAAAATTTAAATAAATTATATATCGATATACAGTCGACTCTGTTTATAACGAACTGACGGTTCTTATAGTAAAAATTTTTAAAAAGTTCATTATATAGTAATTTACTATATTTTATATACCGAACTTATAATAAATTTAAAAAAAAAAGTTCGTTATATAGTGTGTTCGTTATATCCAGAGTCGACTGTATACAATTATAGAATTGCCGGATTGTAAGAACTTCCCTCAATATATGCTCAAACTAAGAATTTGCTTTGTAAAAAATTTTTCAAACTGTAACTTTTTTTTTAATATATTAAACTAATGATTTAATTCACCATCAATAATTCTATAACCACGATTATTTATAGTTTCGCTAGCGTTAAGTTGTGATGTAATATATTCCGTTATAATTTTAATATCGTCCCATTTTAGATTTAAAATAGTTGACGCACTAAAACTTTCAATCCGCTCAATAACTTTTCTACCCTTATCTTCATTTGTATTATTTATATGAAAACAACTAAAGAGCGTATAGATCTTTTCACTCCTATTTTTTCTTTTACTATGAGCATCATAAGATGGTATTACAATTTCTAGATCACTATGGAATTGACTACTAACTAATTTTTTGGATTCAATTTCGTTATGTGATTCTCTAAAAATTCTAAGTTGCATTAATAAAGCCTTTCCAAGGTCGTAATAACACTTAAGAACCTCATGATTCGATTTTTTATTATTTTCAGCACGAGAAATATGATTACTAAGATCAAGAAAATTGACACTATTTGCCCTTTCAGAGTTGAGAGTCTGATTACTGCTTTGTTTAGGCACAGTTAATAACTCATGAGCAAGTTTTTTAAGTTTCGGCAAATTTTCAATATTATTATTTTCTTTTGTTTTTTTCTTTTGTTTGGGCGAAATTACAATTTCATCAATGTGCACTTCATGGTTGCAAGGTTGCTTAGGACATTCTAGCCTCGAAATTCTGTTGAAATAAGTTTCGATACACATACGATGAAATGATGTCCACAGTCCAAAATCGTAATTGGTTCGGTTGAAAAAATTTCATTATTGCAAAGTGGACACGGATATGTTTCTATGCTAATGTTGCGAATTTCAACTTTTTGGAAATTATTTAGTATATTCAAAGCGAAAGATTTAAGTAAATCACCATTAGAAACCAGTTTGGATATTGGCGAAAAGACATTTTAATAGCTCTACAATTGTAAATAATATTTCTTTTATTTTTATATTATGTATTGTTTAAGTTCAAAATTCAATTAAACATAGGTGAAACCTCAATTTTGATCCTATGCTTTTTTTGGTGACACAATATATGCCCTTAAAATTTCATAAAAAGAACCCTCAAATGCTAGAGAATTTGCAAAATGATACTTAGAAATTAAACTGACAACTTCTTTATGGTTAAATAAGCTGTTTTCATAATAAATCCAATTGTTTTAATTTAAATAATTGAATTTTAATTTCATAGGATTTTAGGGGTAGGTCCCATATAATACTCCAGCTTTTTTTCCTATGTTTAGTATAAATGACAATTAATTCAGATTCATTCTTTTACTTCGGTACTTAATTGCAAATCTTTTTCTTTGAGCTGCAAAGTTGGTCTTATATGCTTTAAGAAAATCATTCATTCCTTCGAATCGAACATTATACTATGCTACATGTAATATAAATT